CCACCTAGCATTTGTGTGGTTGCTGGAGAGCTGGGCTCTGATGCCCACATTTGTACAATAAAGATTCTAGCCACTGAACCATTTCCCCAGCCTGCGGTCCAGACTGTTTTTAAAAGGCTTCTCCAGACTCATTAAATGTTAGCATGTGTTACACTGTAGCCTTAAGAGCTAAGAGCAAATTTTCAAAAACAAGTCCACATAAAAGACTTCAACAAATCATCATGGCTGTAAAAGGAGAGGAAGAAGGTATTGAGGCATGAAAATATATATCATCCTCCAAGAAAGTTGCCACAGATACTCTTTCTGGAAATAAAGCAGAATTGCCCATCGGGGGGACACAGGCTAGAGTAGCTGAGGGCCTCCCTCTAGGCTGCAGCAGCATTTCTAAAACTATCAGGGGCAGCACGGTCTGTCAAGTCCGCTGTCTGTGACAGAGTTCCTCAATCTAAAGAGCACTGGCCATGGATGGCTCCAGCTCAAAGGGACCATCTCCCAACTGAAAGCTTCCTCCCCATGACACTAGGAGGCAGCAGAGTACCTGGGAAAGAAACACATCAATTAACATCAGCTCTGTGACGCTTTATTATCTGCTGTGATGCATCTGTTATTCTGCTGGAGTTGTAAATGTAGCGAACTAAAACCATAAACATCACCATTAAAGAACATATAGGCACACTAAAGACAAAATATTTAAAAAAATAATCAAAGGATAGGCTGGGATGGGAATGTTTCCAGAGACAGTGATTTCAAGAGTTGTTTTTGTAATACATAAGGAAGGGTCTAAGCAAGTGGCATATCCAAGGCTCATATGGATTTTGAGACAGTCTTTGTAACTGTGATTAGACAAAGGAGAAGAATGGTTGTAGAGGGAAGCAGAAACCCAGATGGTAAAATAAACCCAGGAAATATGGTGGGGGGGGCAAATTGTGGGGATACAAGCTGAGCTTCGTAAAAGAGATGTCATCATCCGTTATTTTACAGTCCAGAGATCTGGGGTGACAGTCAGCACTAACCTGTCATTCCTGATGGCTGTGCTGAAGAAAGAACTGTTTACCTTTGTTACATAAACAGTCTCAGAAGTGAGTATCACAGAGGTAAGTAATTCATTTATTCGGGAAGAATTGGCCTAAATTGAAAGATCATTTGCATCACCTTTCACTTGGTATTTACAAGAGCAGACCCAAGTGACACAAGGGAGATATTATCCATGGACTTGAGGGTATCACAGCTTTTAGTGAGGGCCACAGACAGTTCTATCAGAAATTTCAATATGGGACAATGTGCCCATCACACCCAACAGAAAAAGTCATGGCTTGGGGAACACTCTAAAAAGTATTGAGATAACCCCAGAAAAAAACAGACAGATGTTCCGGTAAGAAAAGACACAAGGGATCCCTGAAAGTAGGGCAGCCTGATGCAACCCGGGAGATGAAAGAGGGCCTGGCCCATACACACACTATGAATAAACTCCCAAGAACTAAAAGAAGAAATAGGATTGGTAAGAGGGCTCAGTATTTGCTACTGAGCTGGAAGATCTGCATTTGGTCTCTGGAATCCACACAGTGGAAGGAAGAATAAACTTCCAGAAGTTCTCCCCTGACTTACATGAATGTGCCAAAGCAGATGCACACCTGCACACACCCACACAAACAAACAAATAAACAAACAAACAAACAAACAGATGTAGTACAGTTTTAAAAGAGTGTGGCCACTACATGCACGAATTCTGGTGTAATATCCTGGCACTAGTCCTTGTTTGTTTTACTTACACATTAACTTATATAGTCCCGAATATAGGCCCCTCAGTTTTCCCATTTGTAAGTCAGAATGAGTAATGACATATGTTCTAAGGTAATTTGAAGAGTAAATAAGTCAACATTTATATTTTATATCTTTATATATAATATATTATTTATGTATATATGTATATCCTAAACGCTCTATATAACAAATATGTTGAAATGGTGGTATAGAGCTGAAGTCTTTAAAGGAGGTCTGAGTAGAAGTCCCTGACCATGCTAAAAGAGTTTTAATGATATTGGAATGTTAAAGAACTTGAGCTGCAGAAAGTAAAACTTCTGGTGTCATGGATCCAAGAACTCAGCATCCAGCTTTCCTTAATCTACCAGCCACAAATGTAACACACACTCACTCCAACTATTCTGCAGACATCAATCACTTGCAATATGATAACATTTATGCTTCTGCTCAGTAGGATTTTGTTATGACCCCATGATTCTCATAGAATCCTCCAAGTAACTCTGCAAGGCTTAACTTGAGCCTTTCTTTATCAGCCCTAGGATGTGATTTCCAAAAGCTTTCTGCCAGATAAAGATATCTACAGGAGGTAGGATGGGAGGAAGATGTCCAAGTCAATGAATGTCATCGTCAGTGTCCCGCACTGTTCAAAGCATAAATCTTAATGTCCACCAATGGGTTAAGCAGCCTTAGAGTCCAACTGGTCACTGCTTCATTGCTGGTGAAGTTAGAACATAATTGTGGAAAGCTATCCAACATCTCTAAATCTTGCTTCCTTTGTTATCTGTGCAATAAATATAACAAATATGAATTGAAAAATCTCCATTTGTCTCAGAATTTCAAACATTATACATAAGTACCCTAGGTAGTGAAGGGCACCACAGGAACAAAAGCCATTCAGAGCTACAAGTGCAAAAATGCTCCATGGATTAGAATACAATGAATTCAAGATAGGTAGTGCTTTCTTGCAGGTGAAACCAGAATTGATGCATAAATGATAAACAACATCTGTGCTTAACCTGTATGGAGTGTCAAATGAGCATAGCAAGGGGAATAACAGGAAAGAATGACAGGATTTATGGAGTAAACGAAACTGGAAATATGATATTAAAGAAGAGTGAGAATTTGCGTGAATTCACATGCTTGCTAAGAGATTACACAGAAGATAAAACATTCATAAATGATTCTCCAAATCCACTCTGTGAGACTACCTCAATTGTTGTTGAGAAGACCTTTAAGGAACTGATTAGGTAGTTCAGCAGCTAAACAGAGTTGCACCTAAGCCTGACAACTTCAGTAATTGCCAGGACCCAGATGAGAAGAGAGAACAGACTTGTGTAAGTTGTTCTCTGAGCACACACAGCATGGTACACTTGCCCACACATATACATATAATATGTACATATGCATATACACATATAACAAATAAGTGTATACAATGAATGGATGGATGGATAGATAGATAGATGATAGATAGATAATAGATAGATAGATAGATAGATAAATAGATGCAAACCGTGAAAGGCTTGGTGTGTTTCATGATTAATATTGATTGTCAACATGACAAGATATAGAATCAATAAAGAGACAAACTTTAGCCCATGTCTATGAAATGATTTCTAGGTTGGGTTAACTGATGTAGAAAGACCCTCCCTAGATATAAATGGCTCTACATAATAGGCTGAGAACCTGTGGTAGTTTGACTAGGAATGGCCCTCACAGGCTCATATATTTGTATGGCTGGTTGTTAGAGAGTGGTGCTACCCTGGGAGGGATAAGGAGGTATAACCTTGTTGGGGAAACTGTGTCACTGTTTGAGATTTCAAACCATGCCTACCATCCGTCCTTGCTCTCTCTTCCTGGGGCCATGGTGCTCAACTTCTTGAACACCATGTCTGCGTGTATACTGTCATGGTCCTCATCATAACAATAATGACTATACCTCTAAAACTGTAAGCAAGCCCCAATTCAACGATTTTGTTTATAAAAGTTGCTGTGGTCGTGCCGTCTCTTCACAATACAGAACGCTGACTAAGACGGGGCATCTCCTTGCTTAACCCACTTCTACCAGGCATTTTACCACAACAATGAGACAAGTAACTAAAGCAACTGAAAACTGTTAATTCAACAAATTCTTTTTCCCTTCAACTATCTACCAGGGCAAAATGGGCAAACATTAAGAAGCTGCATATATCTTGCAGCTTGCAACTCCAGTGACTCTGAGTTTTGAGGCTAAAGATTCTCCTTCAACCTAAATTGATTTTCTGTTTAAGAAAGTTTTAATTTATATGGTAATCTAAGAGACTACTTATCTACCCAGTGAATCTAGACCTATGACATCCACAAAGACACAGTGCAAGACATACATACATATATATATATATATATATATATATATATATGTATATATATATAAATATGTAAAACAGCCATGTTTAATAGAGGAGAATGCTAATTGATTATATTATTTAATGTACTAAAACAAATACAGTTCATTAAACTTGTATGATTAATATGTTAACATATTTTATTGATTAATATATTAATATACTATGATATATATTTATATTACATGCAAAGTAACAAATAGTAACTTGATTATCCAAAATATTGATTTTCTCACATGCTAAATTTAATTTTATTATGTAAAATTTAATACATGAATAAAATATTTAATTTAATGCACTCAACATATTTTAACACATAATAAAATTGTTAAGGTATTAATGAAATATTGTTACATTAAGCTTTTAGTCTGCTTTTAAAATACAGTATATAATTTTATAGCTAGATGCATATATCTGCTCATAATAGCTGCAGTGAAAGGGCTCAACAGCCCCAAGCCATGATGTGATTTCTAACAATGAAGTCCTTAACATTTCTTATGTGTCAAAAATCTCCTCAATAATGACTTGGCCAGCCTGTACCCTTTGGTGACACAGCACACTGGTATGTTTGATGATGTCACAGCACACAGGTATGTTTAAGGTCAGCTATGGCTCCTAGAAGAGCCTATGTCTCCCCTCTCTCTTTGTGTGTCACATGACCACAGGTGTGGCCAGCACTGTCCTTATGCCTTAGGATTTAATTAATAAATGAGTAAACAGACAAATGACAGCATCACCGTGGGTGTTTACTCAGAGGTACTCGGAAGGCACCTCCTCTAAGCCACAGCATTGGCTCCTGAAGGGAGGAGGGAGGCTCCCTGGACCGGGAGGCTGGGAAGCTGATCACGTTTATTAAACCTGTGAGGCCTTTCCTATAGGCAGGGTAAGCAGTAACAACTGCTGTGGAGGGACATTCTGCTGTGTAATACCCTGCCAGTCCGAGGAGCCAGAAAAGGATGCTGCTTTCAAGAATCATCCCCAAGTAGGTTCCCTGGTGAGGGGAGCAGGGGCTGTCTCTGACAGGAACTCAGTGGCTCTTTGTTCACCTCCCCCTGAGGGTGAGCAGCCTTGCCAGGCCACAGAGGAGGACAATGCAGCCAGTCCTGATGAGACCTGATAGACTAGGGTCAGATGGAACGGGAGGTGGACTTCCTCTATCAGTGGACTGGGAGAAGGGCATGGGAGGAGATGAAGGAGGGAGGGTGGGATTGGGAAGGAGTGAGGGAGGGGCTACAGCTGGGATACAATGTGAATAAACTGTAGTTAATACAAAAATATATTTTTTATTTTTTTAATATTATTTGCATATGTATTTTTACAATTTATTCACTTTGTATCCCAGCTGCAGCCCCCTCCCTCGTATCCTCCCAGTCCCACCCACTGTCCCTCTTCTCCTCCTATGACCTTTCCCTAGTCCCCTAATGGGGAGGACCTCCTCCCTTTCTATCTGACCGTAGCTTATCAGCTCTCATTGAGGCTGGCTGCATCACCTTCGTCTGTGGCCTGGCATGGCCATGCCAGGCTCTGTATGTGGTATGAGGGATGTGTGTGTTCATGTCTGCAGTGTCTGCATGTGCATGCTCTCGTACATGCAAGGGTGCATGTAGTCCTGTGCAAGCCCACGGTGGATGTCTCCTTGAATGCCTACTGGTATATTCAATGAGGATGTGTCTCTCTATGGAACTCAGAAAACACATATTACTGTATTTTATCTCCTGTGTATTACCAAAGAAATTTATAATAAATAGCTGTTCTGCCCAATAGAGTTGTGTTTTATACCTTCTGTGTCACTTCTCAGTCTTCTTTTTTTCTTTTTTTCTTTTTTCTTTTTATTATTATTATTATTATTTACACTTTATTCACTTTGTATCCCCCCATAAGCCCCTCCCTCCTCCCCTCCCGATCCCACCCTCCCTCCTCCTTCTTCATGCATGCCCCTCCCCAAGTCCACTCCCCACCCCCAGCATGGGGGACGATTCTTTTTTTTTAATTAAATTTTTATTTTTCCACTGATAGGGGAGAAATAAAAATTTAATTAAAAAAAGAATCATCCCCCATGCTGGGGGTGGGGAGGCCCTTTTCAGTGACACAGGTGCCTTTCAGTCATCCATCCTCCTCCTGGAAGGAGTCCTGATCCTCTCATGCTAGATTTAAGGGGAAATAATTTCTTTGTTCTCTTGTCAGTACTCTATCCAGAGTGGAGCGATGTTTGCCATTGTCTCCCCAGAAAATGTCTGACAAGAAGAGGGAATAAGGCAGACAGCCACTCCTTAGAGAGGACAATCAATCCTGGAAGGAAGACCTGACTAAAGAGCAGCTGGGCTTGCCCTACAAAGACTGGAGCCTAGACACCACTAGCCAGGATATGCCCAATCCCTGGGGAAACAGACCCATTGTTAGTTTATGGTTCTGTATCAATAACAAGGTTTTCTCTTTCTCCTCTTTGTTTTCATCACCTTGGGTTCTTCCACTGGAAGCAAAAGTTGATTTCATTTAAAGTGAAAACTGGAAATTCATAGCTATTTTTGAACATGAAGATGATCCATGATTTTCTTATTCAAGGTATATTTTCAATAAACTTGATTCTAGTCTTTGATTTAGTTGTCAGGATTGTATTCTGCAACAACAGCTTAACGGATTCAGTCTGGATATTTCATCTTCACCATCTGTACTAACCTTGGGAAGATAGCAGAATAATGTTAACTCTTTTTCCTCAGCTTTTAGTAAACTCAAGGGCCTTTTCTGCTCTGTAAGGAGTAGCTGTCTGCCTTCTGAGGTCACTCCTCCATCTGACCACCTACTGTATTTGCTGCCACTGTTTTAGACTCTTTCTACAGTCATTGTATTCCAATTATATTATGTTATCTCCTATTCACAGAGTTCTCCTTACACTGGGCATTCTTAAATTTCTCCCTGCCTATGAGAAATAACCCACCCACTTCCCTTTGTATGATTCCACCCTTAAGGCGCTCTTTCCCTTTAGATTCCCTCCTCTTCACCTGTAACCTGGCTTCCTCAGTACTGTATCTCAACATCTTTTTAAAATGTGTTTATGAGTAAAATAAGAACCTCGCCTTTTCTGCTCTCTGAAAGTGCCTGATAACAAGTGATTATGACAATAGTTACTGTGGTGAAGTAGAGTTTAAGTTCCTGATAAGTTGTCATATAAAACATAACATTGTTATTTTAAGAATCTCTGGTAGAATTGAATTCTCAGAATAGGCATATACTGTTTCTACCTCTTGATGCTCAGTTTCTGGAAATCACTGGTCAGAATCTCTCCACAAAAATTGTGACACCACAACCCCTGCATGCCTGACTATTGATCATTAAACAAAGAAAAGAAAGGTATTTTTCAGATATTTTTATCCCTATTTAGAGATATTACTATATGTTTTAGCAGGCATAGTGTGGGTAAAATTACCTTCCTGTGATGGTCAATGTTTTTACAAAAATAATGTTATGAATTCTCTGAAGATTTCACACATGCATACGATGCATTTTGAGATTTTCACCCCTGCTTCACTTCTTTCCCAAACTCCTCCCAGATCTATTTTTCTCTGAAGCAGCTCTTTGTTGTCAACTTGACCACATCTGGAATTAACTAAAACAGTAGTGGCTGGATACACCTGTGAGGGATTTTTCTTTCTCAGTCACCTGAGGTGGGAAGACCCACTTTTAATCAGGATCTTTTGAGGTGGGAAGATCCACCTTTAATCTGAGCCACAGCTTCTGCTGACAGTCTATATAAAGAACACTGAAGAAGGAAGCATGCTCTCTTTGCCTGTTTGCTCTCACTTTTGCTGGCAAGACCGTTCCTTCACTGGCACTAGAGCCTCGTTCTTTGGAATTCTGGAGTATACTGAAGACCAGATTTGACAGGGAGACTTGTGGACTGACCACTATTGGATTCTTAGAACTTCTCTTGGTAGGAAGCCATTGTTGGACTAACTGGACCACAGTCTATAAGCTATTCTAATAAATCCTCCATATATATATATATATGTATTATATAAATATATTACATATCTATTACATATTATGTGAGAGAATCTAAACAGGGGTGAACTTAGATGAAAAGCCAAACACGTGTTATCATGGCTATTGATCCTATACATAGCTTTCATGGGTTTTGTTTCTTATCCCTTTTTAACCCTCCAGAAAATTTTCTTAATCTTCTATCAGTAAAGCTAATCTCAGAAGCAACTCTGTACAAATGAAATAAAAGTGATTCTGTTGATTAGTATGCAAGCAGCACAGGTTCCTAAAACCCCTGTCATCTCTTGAGGATAGGGATTTAGACACAGTCCCTGCTTCTTTGAGTCAGTGGGCACAGAAGCCTTTTTGTGGTCCAGTGTGATGACACAGGGTGAGCTCCTGCTTGGGGCTGCTCTCCACAGCTCATTCCCATCCTCCTAGTTGAGGAGAAGATCTGGAGACTGAGTTAGCATTTGCTCATGCCTCCATGAAACCACCACAAATACAGAGTACAGAGATCTTCCAGAAACATGACTACAACAAAAATTTAGGAGAGTACTCCAGAACAGCACGGAGACCAAAAGTGGTACTCAGGACCCTTGTCTGCTCAATTTCTTCATGTGTGTCTGCCTCGTGCGTCCTCCTTTTTTACTTTATTCGGTTCAGCGCATTCTAGTAAATACTGAACCTGAGAAGACAGGTATGTGAATCTTATATTTATAGCCTATTGATCAGAAGTGTGGGGGACATCTAGATTTGTGGATGGCTTCTAAACTGGGCGTCATCTTCTAGACAGATCACTGACAGCCTCATAGGTCTCAGGAAGGAGACAGTCTTTCCTCAGTGGGATGAGCTCAGAGGAGTTTTAACTGTGTTATGGGATCAGATTGTGTTATAAAAGCTACACAAACAGTGCTTGGAGAATGGATTATAGGGGCAATAGTGCAAGCAGGAATAAAAAGCTATATAATGGTTATAAAAGCACACTGAATATAAAGTAAAACTCCTTTATCTCACCCCTCTCAACACCTCTACCACTAAAAATATAGGCTTTTTCCTATAGTGACCAATTTTCTGGTTGGTTTGTTTGTTTCGAGTGTGTGCATGCTCATGGGTATGAGTATGTGTGTTTGTGTGTGTTACATAATTTTACACATGTATTGTTAGGTGTGCATGGTTGTGTGTGCAGCTGTGTGTGCATGAGTGTACACATTCATGTGGAAGTAATTGATTGATGTCGGATGTCTTCTTCAATGACTGCCCATGTTTGGTTGAGATAAGGTTTCTCAAGACTACTTTAGCTAGACAGTTTGCCTTGAAAAGCCTATATTTCTCCCTTCTAAGCACTAGGACTATAGGTGTCCCACAAAGCCCGCCAAAGCTAATAGAATGCTGGGAATCCAATCTCTGTTTTTCATGTCTACATAGCAAGTTCTTCATCCACTCAGTCTTCTTTCCAGCTCCATTGACTATTTTCATGACATCATTTGGCTATCCTAACAATTAATTCAGTTCTGACACAGCTAACATAAAGTTAACCTGCTGTCCCACAAATTAAAGACCTGTTTCAAAGAGATGGCTCCCACTTTAGAAGATAGCCACATGTCTGGGTCTCTTGTATTTTTGACTAGCTGGCTGTAATATAATTCAACCAGTAGATTCAATGATTGGTATAAGGCACAGAGCTCAAAGAAATACCTACTTTAGATTCATGGTCTGTTATAAAATAAGGCATAGGATAAAGAACACAGTTTAGCCTCAACGTAGAGAAATATAGGACAAAGGTTCTGAGCACAGATCTTGTGCCTCATGTATCACTCTCCCAAAACTTGAAGGTGTTGTTCACTTGGAAGTGGACTTCAAACAGCTTCATCTAGAGTTCTTCTGATGATGGCCGTCACCTATTTACTCACTGTGTTTAAAAAAAAAAAAAACTTTAAAAAGTTTTGTTGTAGCAAAGCCACAGCTTATTATTTAACATATGTCCAGTCTTTGGGAATACAACAGCAAAGTTGAGCAGTTTCCTTTGTTAACTTGGGCCACAAAGTCTGAACTATTTCTGGCTGGCATTCCATTTATTTATTTACTTATTTATCTATTTGTTTATTTATTTGTGTATGTATGTGTGATGCATGTGCCATGATACATGTTTGGAAGTCAAAGAACAACTTCCAGGAGTCAGCTTGCTCTTCCACCATTTGGGGCACAGAACAGCACTCAGATCACCGTGCGTGGTGACATGTACCTTCAGCTGCTCATCTATCTCACTGGACTCTGACTAGCCATCATGGAACCTGCTTCACAGCTATACTGATTTTTTTTTCTGCCAAGATCTCAAACTGACCACACGCTTTTTGCTTCAGAAACTTATTTGCATCCTTCAAGCATCATTTAAACATTTGGGCAATTCCTCTTCCAGCTGGATTACAGGACATTCTCCTTAATTGTCATGTTACAGCTACGATGTCATTTTTCACTCACTTTCCCGAAACCCTTTCTGAAATAGTACTCCTCCGATCTCATGGCTCTCTTTCCTATTACCTCTCCTATTACTGTGCATTTTATAGTGTTGCTCTGTTGATGGTACTTTAACAATCCCATCAATCTCTGAGGTGAATTTGTGTGCTGGTGCATCCTCTCTAACAGACTGTGTGGGACCCTGTCTTTTACAGTCACCACTGCACGTCAAACTCTGGAACTATGCATGCATGGCACATAGTGACCACTCAATAAAGAGTCTGAAAAAAATTGATCTACTTGCGCGTGTCAAACAGTCATGAGGAAAGATCAGAACCACCATGGCCCTCAAAGACCACTGAACAGAAACTTCTCATTCTGTAGATGACACGATTGTATGAAGCAACAAGGTATGTGCCCAGGCTGAATTCAAACTTACTCTTATCCCATGTCCAGACATGCAACCTGTCGCTTAGGCTGCCGGTAACTGAGTGTCTACATAAAACCTGCTTTACATCAAGTTTTACTAATAGCTCTGTTTCTTGAAAAGTCGTGGAAAGTCACAAAGTGAACTGAAGAAAATTTATTTATTGAGTCTTTACTATTATTTTTTGTACAGAATTTTGAACATGAGATCTTTTATATAGGATTTTCTAAACAAATTGGAACTACCCCACTATTAAAATGCTAGTTTCTGAAGTCTATAACAAATACCTTCTTAGCAAATGGTTTGCAATGTTGCCTTCCCCTCAACATGTTTTCTCCCACAAATCTTTAGTATCCTTAATCAGCAACCACTATGTATCCCAGTTCCACATTTTGTCCTGATTTCTGTATTAGATGATAAGCTTTCTGAAGATAAGAATCATACTTTATTAATCATTGTACCCACAATGATTAACAGGCCAGAACATGAAAATGGGGCTGGAGCGATGACTTAGCAATTGAGTTCTTACTGTGCTTGTAGAGGGCCTGAGTTCAGGCTCCAGAACCCATGTAGGGTGGCGGATCACCACCCATAACGCCTTTAATGTTCCAGGGCATTAAATGCCTCTTCTGGCCTCCGTGGAATCTGTGCTGACATGTACCTTACAGAGACAAACACACATATACATAATAAAACAGCATATGTTATTTTCAAAACAAATATTAATAATGTTTAATGACTGTGTCTTGTGTTTCTTCTATCACAAAACTTCTTCCTTCTGGTGTTGTAGCTTCTTCTTCACCTCCTACAAGTCTTCATGCACAGTTCACTCTTCAGTGAATGCACCCTGGCCACTCCACTGAAAATCTAAAGATTCTCCTGTTGATCTGGTAGTCCTTACTTTCTAGGGTTTCTATTGCTGTGATAAAGTGCCAGGACCAAGGGCATATGGAGAAAGGGTTTATTTTAGCTCACAACTCTCAGGTCTCACTCTATCACTGCTAAAAGTCAAGGAAGGAACTCATGGCAGGAACCTGGAAGCAGGAACGGAAGCAGAAGCCATAGTAGGGTCTTCCTTATTGTCTCTCATAACTTGCTACACCTGCTTTATTATGGCACCTAGGACCACCAGATCAGGGTTGGTGCACCCATAGTAACTTGTATCCTTCCACTTCAATCATTAATCAAGACAATGAACAACAGGTCAATATGGTAGGGGCATTTTTTTTTTCAATTCTGATATCGTTTCATGTCATCTCACATAACTCTAATTTATGTCAAGTTGACAAAGAATTACCCTACTTATTTTTATCCAAAGTATTTATTCTATTCTGATAGCTCCATATACAGTACTGTTTTATATTTTATTAAAATTTTAATTAGACACAATAGTGAGCTTTATTATGACATTTCCATACATGTGTATAATGCATTTGTGCCATATTCCCTACCCTTATCCTCTCTTCCTCTCCTCCCATTTCTGATTCCCTTCTTCTCCCAAATGGTACCCTTTCTGCCATCATTACTTTAGTTCTTTAAGATGTATTTATTGTAATTTACTGTGCTTGGGTGTTTTGCCTGTATGAATATCTGTGTACCACATGTATGCTGTGCCTGTGAAAGCCAGAAATAGAGGGCATCCAATCCCATAGAACTGGAATTGCAGACACTTGTTAGCTGCCATATAGGTGTTTTACATTTAATTCAGATCTTCTGGAAGATCAGTCAGTGTTCTTAATTGTTAAGACACCTCTCCAGCTTCTCATGACTTTATTTTTATTGACCCAATGAGTTTCATGAGTGTGGGTGAGGGTTTGTTTAGAGGAGCATGGACAACTTATCTGTGATTACACCACTAAATGAAATGTTTGTCTTTTTCACCAGCTACCCTTACTAGTCACAGTCATTTATATGTTTTCTTTCTACCCTCTTTATCAGGCTGTAAGCTTCTGATAGGCTTAGAGAAATGTTCTCTTCACTTTTTATGAACTATACTCATCAACACAGCCCTGGCATCTACCATGAGGCACACCAAAGGATCAAAATAAATGTGTTTCCTTAGGACAAAGGACATAGAACTGTGTGAGTGTGAATGTAAATGAGTCAGGCTCAAAGCACCAGACTACCTCCTAAGGCTCCTATGAGTTAGGCCAGGAAAGCAGCAGAGCAGCTGTGATCAGAGCCACTGCTGAGCATTCACTCCTCCATCCTGGGGGGAAAAGGAGAGTTCAGGCCAGCCATGTTTAAGAGCAGCACTGAACAAATAAAAGTTAACAGCCCATGTGGGAGAGGAGTTTGCTTTGCTTAATGACTTGGCAGCAGAGCAGTGTGGGAATGTTTGAAGAGATGGAGACCTTATCTTTTGTCAACTCCCTGCTCCTGGGGCTCAAAGCAACCATGATGAATATTTGTAGAGAGCAGCAAACACAGAGTCTTATTCAGCCACCAAGAGGCAGAGGGAAGCGTTGGTATGAAAGGAAGAAACAAATTGTCCTGAATAGAGTGTCATGATGGAAGAAATCTACTCAAAATGAAAGGAAGTTAGAGCTGAGGGGATGGCTCAGTTTGTAAAGTGGTTGCCTTGCAAACACGGGGACCTGTGTTCAATCCCAAGCACACACATACAATCCTACAATCCCAGCAGAGACAGGAGGATCACGAGAGTCTCTGGTTAGCTGCTCTTGATGAACTTGTAAGCTTCAGGCACAGAGAGTGCAACAGAAGAAGATGCTAAGACACCAGATATCAACCTTTTGCCTCCACACATGCATCTTTACCTACACACATGTGCACATCTGTGCTTGCACCCATGAAGAAACTGAGTGAGCCATGCTTTTTCTACTGTCTTCCCGCTCCTTCTCTTCCTCCTTTTATCTCAGGAGATGAGAGTCACTGAGAACATGGACCATGTGAACCTTCCCTCGGCTTAGGAACCCTGGAAATTATCTGCTTGGCAGGTGACTTCTGATGGACGAGGACTCATTCTGCACCGAGCTCAGTGAGGAAACAAGAGCGCAGAAAACAGGGAGCAAAGAAAAGGTCTGTGCGCTTTACTTCCATTCCATTTATAAAAGGAAAAGCTTCACAATGCTGAGAAAATGAAATCTTTGTTTTGCTAATGAGTGAATTTTAATGATTAGCACTACTATTACCATGTATGGTCTCCTTGGTTGGAAATGGAAGCTGTTTGTTGAACTAACCTGTTCTGTTTAGAGAAAGCACACTCTGAATGGTTTTCTATTAACTTGGAAAAGCCACAATCCTCTTGAGCAAAACCACCACTTACTTATATGAAACCAGAAATTTATTTTTTTCCAATTTTTTACACATGTTTTGGAGAATAAAAAAATTGAGCCAGAGGACTCCTAAGAATCTCTCATGTAGGGAAGGGAAGGGCAAACCTAGTCTTGATGAAAGCCTTAGCATTAGAACATTTAGATTGGGGGCAGAATGCCAATCATTCTGAGTACAAAGGAAACAAAGGCTTTAACCCCGTCTCGAAACCTTCACATGAGGGGCTATTTTTATTTTTATTTTTATTTATTTATTTTATTTTTTTACATTTTATTAACTCTGTATCCCAGCCGTGTCCCGATCCCTCATTCCCTCCCAGTCCCTCCCTCCCTCCCTCATCTCTACCGTGCCCCTTGCCAAGTCCACTGATAGGGGGGGACCTCCTCCCCATTCATCTGATCCTGTTTTATCAGGTATCTTCAGGACTGGCTGCAAAGCTCTCCTCTGTGGCCTAACAAGACTGCTCCTCCCTTGGGGGGTGGGGAGGCCAAAGAGCCAGTCATTGAGTTCCTGTTAGAAATAGTCCTTGTTCCCCTCACTATGGGAAGCCAATTGGTTACTGAGCTACCACAGGCTACATCTGAGCAGAGGTTCTAGGTTACATTCATACATGGTCCTTGGTTGCATGTCAGTCTCAGAAAAGACCCTGTGCCCAGATATATTTGGTCCTTGTGGAGCTCCTATCCTTTCCTCATCAGACTAACTCCCCTTCTTTCTTATGATTCCCTGTACTCTGCCAAAGGTTTGGTCATGAGTCTTTGCTTTGAAAACACTGCTAGTTAGAGTCTTTCAAATGCGCTCAGTAGACTCCTGTCATATGTTCAATGCACATCCCATCTGTCTTTCTAAACGAGGATTGATAATCTTACCCATGTCTGCTCTCTTGATTATCTTTTTTAGGTGTATAGATTTCATGCTATTTTTAAAGCAAGGGTTTTCTTGTTCTCAGCCCACATTCATGACTACTATATAGATGAGAAATTTTGTTTTCTCTAGCTGAGTAGACACTCCAGGGTGACACAGCTAGCAAAGTTTGGAGTCAGTTGTATTTGACAAGACCTTGATGCCTCTGATTAGAGGTAGGAGACAAAGCTCACCTCCTGCTCTTTGTCTCTACCAAGTGTCCTGCCCACCCATATTCAACCTTCTGGGAAGACAAAAGCAACCATCTGTGTGCTGGGATTCGTGGAGAAACCGCATGAGTATAGATAAGACATCCATAAGGAAGAGATGGAGAGATGGCTCAGAGGGTATGGGCATCCTGCTCCAGCAGAGGACTTCCCAGCGCCCTCTTCAGGCTGCTTACAGCTGCCTGCAACTCCAACTCCAGGGAATCCAGCGACCTCCTCTGGCCTCATTTGGTATCTGAGCTCACATACACAAACCATAAATAAATTTAAGAGTAGAAATTAAAAAAAAAAATTAAGACAGAGACCTCTAAAGATACCTTTCCTTTGTGAGACAGCAGCTGGCTTCTTTTGAAAGCCTCTGGTGAAGAACCCTTCTCTCTTACATTTTGCCCCTGTGACCAAACCCAATACAGGAATACCTCAGTAATTAAAACTGAAGTTTCATAATCACACTTCAAAGTATGATTGACTTCTAATTCTGCATGACACACACACACAAACAGAGAGAGAAAGAGAGAGAACATCAACCAGAAAAAGTATTTTCCAAATGGTTAAGCAGTGACAATTTTGTATTATTTATTTATTGTTTAATTAAAAATGTTTTAAGTTGAAATAGAATATAAAAATCTTCTCCCTTTCTTTTTTTGCTCCAGCTCCTCTAAGATACCCTCCCTCCAATCCCTCCTGTATCCACACTCTCAAGTTCATAGCCTCTTTTTCTTTTATTATAATTGTTATGTGTGTCTATTTGTGTGTTTGTGTGTATTTGCATGCCTCCCCCCTCTTTCACCCTCTGGGTGTGTGCATGTGCAGATATTAAAAAAGAAATTTATGAGCTTTCATTTGAAATTTCTCTGAGGACATTTCTTCTCAAAATAAGGGGATAAAATGTGTAAAGACCAAGAAAATCAGAACTAACTTGTACAAGACACTGGAAGATGAGATGGTGTATGAGTTTCAGGAGTATATGTCAGAAGGTGGCTTGTGACATTTTCTGAAGCTAAGACTGAAGGAGAATGGATGGTATTACTTCATGGACGATTTGGGGAGCAGATAGAGCAGCCTCAAAGATAAAGGGAGGGGTGCGATAAATTTTCACCAATTGCTTATAAAACAACTTATAATCATTTTCATCCAACCATTACTGTAACAAAATCAAGGTCAGGAGCAACAAAACACCACAAACATGTTCAGGTTGCCGTGTTCTCACTCAGATGTCATTAGAGAGATAGCTACAGCAGCAGAGAGCTATATATTAACAGTGGGGTACTAGCAGAAGGTTCTATTGCTAAGAAAAAATCAGAATTTAGTTAGTTCTTATTTTTAATTAATGAACACACAGTTGAGTTTATGTTAATATTATTTTTATTTACATGTATGGGGTTGGGTTTGCATGTGGGTGCAAAAAGGTGCCTGTAAAAGCCAGAACAAATTTCGTGGAGCTGAAGTTGCGGGTGATTTAAGCAACTATCACATTATTCTCCTTGTGGAATAGTTAATGTTATCAAGTTTGTTCAAAGTTTCCAGGTATCAGAATATATATTTGACTTGGTAAAGTCTGAAAAAGTTTGAAAAACAAAGCTCCCAATTGCTTCTTCTCTGCTACATGGAATAGATGACAACCATCTGTCTCTTATTCTGAGACTGTTCTAATTACATCTAGTCTATGCCATTGGCCTTCCAAGCCATCACTTTGTCCCAGACACGCCAATATTATAGTGTCAAAACTATTCTTATTAGATACATCACACTTGAAAACAACATGAAAGTCCTTTTGTCAGATTGCATTTGACTCTTTTATTTGGAAAATACGATCCGTATCAACCTTATTAAAAATCTGAATTGGTGGATTTGCTGTTTTCATTGTTTTCTTTTTAAGCACACACGTGTGTGTGTGTGTGTGTGTGTGTGTGTGGGAATATGTACATGTATCTACGGAGATCAGAAAAGGACCCTGGATCTTTGTGTGAGTGCTGGGAACAAAACTCAGTTCTTCAAGAATAATAGCGTTCTCACCCTCTGAGCCATCTCTCCATCCCTGGGGGATCTACTTTAACAAACATTTTCTACCTTTTTCTGACACTAGTATTGGACTTCAGTATTAGACTATATTATTATATTAGATATTAGGATATATAACTTATTGATCATGTATAGCTGATGAACTGAAACTATTTGGAATTACTACCTTCAAAATGGGATCAACATAATTATAATGTGAAAATGCAGAGCTACAGTTCTAAGTGATTTTTCCAATGGTGAATCCGTTGTGTTTTTGTAAGACTTCATCTAGCATTCAAGTGGTTCAAATCATTCAAAAAATAATAATGACTTAAAGAATTCTTCTCCATGCCAGGTGTAAAGAATGAAAACATAATGCTCTATTTTTTTAGACAAAAGTGCCATAGGTATAATTACTTAATCATCCAATTTGCAGATAAGCAGGATGCCCTGGGGTTCTGCCTTAATACCTGTTCTTAGTTTTGGGGGTTCCCTAAGTTGCCTCACCCAAACCAGAAGCTGAGCTCAGAGTTGAACAGCTTGCAGACCAGAGCTCATGCATCTTTAAGGTTCCTAAGCAAACAGAATTTGGAGGGAGGAATGAACCAATAAGAAATCCTTTGTTGAGCAATGTAGACAAAAGTGTAAAGATAAAGCAAAATGTGAATAATGTCAAGGAAGATTGAACTCAGGAAGTGAGGGGTATCGGAGGGACTTGCCTGCCAGGGAAGAAAAATCATTGTTGTAGCTGCTTGAGTTTACTTGACCACCTGTAAGATCACCATTCAAAATTTCCTTCTCTGCTGTATTCTGTCTCCTGGTCCTGTACTGGGCTTTGGGAAGTGCCTGTTTCCCTACACCTGGCATTGTGTTGTGTATTGATGAGTTATCGCTTCCTAAAGAGACACAACCAATATTTAATCACTCCAGTAAACACCAAGGAGAAGCCAAAGTTTGGTTCACCAAAGTCCAATGTGGTAAAGCCAATGAGTTTATTGGATTTTCTTTTAAAGCATGGGTAACCTCAATGTGGCAGTATCACTGCAAGGTCCTACCCATCATGGACTCCAGCTCATGGAAGATGCATCAGTGAGTTCCACTTCAGATTTAACTTCTGCTTCCCACATACTCTCCCATCACTAAGATCTTTGCAGCTTAAAAAGGGACAATTTCAGGTGTGGGTCTCTGGACTCCCTTCTCCACTCTCTATGGAGTAGCAATAGTTCATTATCATTATTACAGACCTGGTTAGCACTGTATCATTTTAATTTTTTCATTATGGATACCAGGGGCAAAACATCCTACATAACATTGTGTTATGTCACAGGATAAAGCACCATTAACAACCGAGTCTTTAGTGAAGAACAAAGCCTGTGATGTTCATGTCCTTAGAACTTAGAACTGGACAGAGATAAGACTATAGTCAAAACCCGAAGCTCATGGGAGTTCAAGCACAGAGAACAGGGCAATTAGGAGTGGGTGTGGTGTGAACCTGAACAAAGAAGCTCATGGATTCTGCAAGAGCTGGAAGAGGACAAAGGTCCAAACACAGAGCCTCAAAGTTACGGACCTGGCAAGGAGGGGCTGTGTCACACGGCAAAACAGCTTGAGTTTCATTTTAATGGACACAGAAATAAGCCGTTCTTATCAGGGCTGTGGAATAATGTGGAGTTTCATGTGCTTTTGTTGAGCATTAGCTAAACTCATGTGGTATACAAAATATTACAGACTTGAGAGTATAGACCAAGCTTGTTGATTTACTTCGAGTTAGAGATCCTTTAATGTTCTCATCTTTATATAATTGGATATCATTAAATTTATGTACAACTGAACACAAAACCAAACCTTGTGCTATATTAAAATACATACGCATTATTAGCAGTATTAATTCAATAAATGTAATGATTCATATTAATGATAAATTTTATTAGCTCACATATAATTTGTGCATATTATACAATTGCAGTATACATTATCAAATATATGTTCATATACTACATATTATAACATAATTTTATGTGATATAATATATATTTGAGACATACACATATATATACATATGTTTTGGATGAGGGTCCTGGAGGATATCCAGACAGATTGCTTGGAAGTAAGGAGTTTATTAGTAAGATGAAAAGATAGACAGAGAGGCGGCTGCATGGTTGAGGCTCCAAGTAAAGTTCAGGCCTCAGTGCTAGAGACAAGCAGTCTGATGGGATCTCTGTAGAGAGGAATCAAAGTTCATGTGACAGAAATAGGATCTGCTCCTTTAGCTTTCTGAGGCTAGGGAAAGGTTCATAGAATGAGCTGTGGGCGGGTCTCTGATTCTCCGACAGGAGGAAGGGAAGAGGGTAAAGAGAAGGCTCTGTGTAACCAACCCCACCTGTCATGTAAATTCTCTTCCCAAGTACAAGACCTTGGCACCAGGAATTCTGTTAGCTAGGACTCAGACTCAGTAGAGGGCACTTACCAGTATCTCTGGAAGAGGCTGGATTCCAGCTTTACATTCCTGTACATATAGTATATGCATGCATGCATGCACGTATGTGCACGTATATGTGTGTATAACATCTATGTGTTCATAACTACAGTTTATATTCTTAACAGTCATGCTGCCTGCAGTGTTGGACTGAAGTTGGGAGAAGCATGAGGATGATTAGAAGGGAGGCCTCTCTTCCTATTTCTGAGAGCCTGTTCTTCCCTGCATTAAACAACAGTAAGCATTCGTCTCTTAACTCCTGTTCATAGACTCTTGGCTGGGTCTATGAACACCAGGGAAAGAAGCCTTTATGCACCTGAGAAGGAGAATTGGGTATGAATTTTCTGTGTGCTCATCATCCCGGCAAGCCTATGATTTCAAGTTTTGAGGGTACCTCTGCCACAAGCTGGAGGACATTTCATCTGGGTCCTTCTCATCTCTGAGAAGAAGAGCTACCTCCCCACAAGCTCCGTCTGTCACCCACTCACTCACTCTGGAGTACAGAATGAGCAAGAAGTAAATTTATTATATTCTTTGTCCTGAGTTGTCAGTCAGATTTGGTTTCCTCAAACTAGCTTAAGTTCTACTGAGAAATCATTGGGACAGCACGCAAAGTCGTTAGAGAAAAAAAAAAAAAAGAAAAAAGAAAATGAGCAGATCTCCACCTACCTGTCACTGGGCCCAGCACATAGTAGATGCTAAGTAAACACTAGCTAGAAAATGCTACTGTTGGCATTTTTATTCGAGCATCAATTGTTTTCTAGGTGTGGGTAGACTGCCTCGCAGACCTAGGTCTGAGTCTGTTTCTCTGGTAGATGAGAGGGTTGCACCACAGCTCCAAAGCCCTGACTGTCCATGACCATAGGCTAAGAAAGCTGGGAGCCTTGGGAGCTGGAAGGAGTGGGCAGAAGTCTCCCCTCCACTATTTTTATCAGGCAGAGAATAATAACTTGATACCAGGTCTGGAGATAAGTGATCCAAAAGATCAAAGAGGCTGCTATACTCCCATGTGATTCCTTTGGCAAAAGATACAAAGGAAGAACACTCAGAAAATCCTTAATTTCTCTCTAGAGATTTAGAGTCTTAGTAGGTAAACCAGGGGAAAATATGAATGCTGGGCTAGAGAGGTGGCTAGGAGCATTTTCTGGTCTATCCAAGGACTGGAGCTGAGATCCCAGCACCCACATGTGATAGATCACAAATGCCTGTAATTCCAGCTCTAAGAGATCTGGCACATGTGTCTCTAGAATATATGGGTACATGTAAACACATGTATACACACACACTCACACACATTCTCTCTATCACATACACTGTTACAACAATAAAATAAAACAACATAACATTTTTTAAGTGAAAATACTAATTACTTCACTTCTGCAGTCACAAGTATTGATAAATTCATGCAGAGGAACTTGCTACTTTTTTATTTTGTCTCTCTGTGTAATGCTATCAAAATTGCAGATCTCTGGAGTCCATGCTCCACACTTCCCAATAAGAGGGAGCTTTAGGCTGTCTCCACAGCTGTTTTTTTTTTTTTTTTTTTTTTTTTTTATACAGGCACTGCATATCATCTGTTTACATGACAGCCCTTCTCAGTAAAAACCTGGGCTGTGGCTACAAAAGTGCCACTAACAAGCTCTGTGATTCTGGAAGAGGCACCCCATATCCTCCAGAGCCAAGTATCATCATGTGTGAAATGCTGATAATAATGCTCTCACTGTCTCCCTCCTGGGGTGGTCATGATGATCAAGTGAGATGGAATAGAAGTAAAAGTGCTTTGAAGAGCATCCTCACCCCACAGACGCACAGGGGATGGGGGAAGCTTGATGCATTGTTGTTATTATGGCTGTTGTGGTCCCCCTGCTTCAGGATGATTTGTCTCTGAGGATTTTCCTCATGCACCACAGGGACTGGAAAGAAGGGCCCTCTCCTCTCCACTTGATGCATGGTACAGCTCTGAAGGGAGTTTGCCGACTCCAAAACGTAAACAACCTATTTCCACAGAGCTGATTTCCCGCCCATAGAAATGAACAACCGCCCCCCCTCTTCTTTTCTGAATACACATGAATTTCTGTCCCCCTGAGAGACCCAACTGCTTTATCTCTATAATTGGTTTACTGTGCTAGGTGCCTTCTAGTCTCTGAATAAACTCACAAAAGTAAAGACCTGCTCCTCAGATCTCCCAAGAATCTAGCCATCTATTTTTAAACAAGTGACACCCCTGCATCCCCTGAGACACCAGCTGAAAGTCTTAAGAAGTCAAAGGAATTGAGAGTCATAATGTGTAACCCTCTGTATGCTGAGACACACTGTGAGGTTAGCAGGAAGAAGGGAAGGGTAACCCAGGAAAGCCGCTCTAACAGCCCACTC